GACAGCACCACCTGCAAACAGAGTGAATATAATGTTTTCATGCTAATTTACACAGATATGAAATCTTGGGAATCTGCAAGCCTTTCATTTAATCTCCCATTCATTCTCTTCACATTTTACATCAAGGGCAGAGCTATTACCAGCTGCTCTGCTCATCCTCTCCAGCCCTTGGAAGCTTAAAGAGGAGCCCCCTCCTCAAAGGAAGCACTTGGGGAGAATTGGTTTCTACTTAAGGCAAAGCTTTTATAATCTGCTATGCTTCTTCTTCTCCCTGTAGATGACAAGCAGACTTGTTCTATTTGATGGAGGGTTGTTGTAACCTGCTTTGAGTCCTCACTGAATGGAGAAAAGTGAGATACAAATACCCAGATAAAGAAGTCCAAACTTACAGCCCATGTTAGGCCTCCAGCCCTTGGAAGCTTAAAGAGAAGCTCCCTCCTGGAAGGAAGCACTTGGGGAGAAATGGTTTCTACAGTAGGCAAAGCTTTTATCATCTGCTATGCTTCTTCTCCTCCCTGTAGATAACAAGCAGACTTGTTCTATTTGATGGAGGGTTGTTGTAACCTGCTTTGAGTCCTCACTGAATGGAGAAAAGTGAGATACAAATACCCAGATAAATAAGTCCAAACTTACAGCCCATGTTAGGGTTAGTTAAACATTACAGTCAGTCTCATGCAACAGCACTGTGCCATGCCTTTCAGGCACTATAAAGCCTCTACCCCAGTGGCCTTTGAATCTGACTCTAGGGGGGGGTGCTCATCTCCGTTTCCAAGCCAAAGAGCCAGTGCTATCTGAAGATGTTTCCATGGTCTTGCGGCTGGCATGACAAAGCGCTGAGGTACACGGAATGCTGCTATCTTCCCACCGAAGCAGTTCCTATTTATCTACTTGCAATTTCTTGCTTTCAAACTGCTAGGTTGGCAGGAGCTGGGGCCAGAGACGGGAGCTCACTCTGTCACACGGCACTAGGGTCTCGAACTGCCCAACTACAGACCTTCCAGTCTGCAGCTCAGTGTCTTAACCTCTGAGCCATGGCTTTCAAAGATTAGACAGATTCAGGGAGCATAGGTGCATTCATGGGCTACTAGCCATGGTGACTAAAGGGAAGCTCCATATTCAGAGGCAGCAAAACACTGAATACCAGTGCTAGGGAGGGCAACATCAGGGGAAGGCCTTAGGTTCTGCACTAGTGGCCTTCCAGAGTAATTGGCTGGCCACTGTGTAAAACAGGATGCCAGACTAGATGGACCACTGATTTAACTGAAAAGGAGTACGACAAGGATGTATACTGTCACCTTGCTTATTTAATATATATGCAGAGTACATCATGCGAAATGCTGGCCTGGATGAATCACAAGCGGGAATTAAGATTGCTGGGGAAAAGATCAACAACCTCAGATATGCAGATGATACCACTCTAATGGCTGAAAGTGAAAAGGATCTAAAGAGCCTCTTGCTCAGAGTAAAAGAGGAGAGCGCAAAAGTGGGCTTGAAGCTCAACATCAAAAAAACTAAGATCATGGCATCCGGCCCCATCACTCCTTGGCAAATAGAAGGGGAAGTCATGGAAGTAGTGACAGACTTCACTGAAAAGTACTCTTCTTATGTTCACTCTGGTGGAAAGCCCTGGCCTTGACATGGAAGGTTGTAACTCTACCCCACTCTTCTTGTCAACTGACAGGTCAGTAGGACCCATGCTGCCATCTGGGGGTTAAAGGCGGGTCCTGACTCCGGAAAGGCTGAAGACCAGTGCTCTAGAGCTCTTAAAGACTACATAACTGACAGAAAGTATCCAAAGACACATATTTCAGGCCCATCACTAAATTCTATAATAGATACAGCTGTGGCAGGGTGATAGTCTTTTCAGTTTACCACGTATCATTAAAGTATTACCTCAAAATCTGTGCTTCTTTGGGGACAAGGGGGATGGCCTCAAAAACAACCAGCTGTGTATCCACAGTCATAACTGGCAGCTCATTGTGGTGCAACAAATCACAAGCTGAAGAATGCAAAGATTTCTAGTACAAAGTACTGATTGTAATAGAAAGGAAGTCTCTGAATATCTTTAGTTGTCTGGACAACCAGCTCCACAAGCATCTATAGAGTTACTCAAATATATTGTTTCCACACACAGTGAACAGACTCCTGCATATTTAGCTCTACCTCTTCCCTCAGAAACTGGACAATACCCCTGTAAAAAGTAATCAAAACAAAGACTTTTACTTTATTGCAGAGAAGAAGACCCTTGAAACATTCTGTTCTTTAATTCTCCTCTTTAAACACACAATAGCCCTCAGAATGGAAACTGCTCCAGGACAAACTGCATACCTTTTCATCAGGATCTTTCACTTCCACAAACATGCCCAGACCCGGAGTTGCAGGCAGGTACTCCTCCCTTTGCTTATCAAACAGCTGCGTTCGATAGTTCCCTGATGCAGAAGGGAGCAGAATCAGAGAATAGGTAAGAACTACCACCACGGATTTCTACGCGGGACCCTCACCACACAGAGCTTCTGGATACATACCTCCCTCTCCCCCATCTTAACCAGCGCTTCAGTGCACGCTTCCTATTATGCAGCCCCTTAAGGCTTTACCACCCAAACGTTATCCGAGGTCTCCAACCAGACATCCCACATAGTAGTCCCTTCGAGGGCAACCTCTCTCTCCCCCCCCCATCAACCCCATTCTTCTTGGACCCTCTTCTCCTGTCTCCCTGCGCACCGATGACCATGGTCTCGTCCGGGATCTCCTCGATGAAGCACTTGCGTTCCGTCTCGCCCAAGTGGAAATAGAGACCCCATCCGGGAGACGCGATCCTGAACACCACCAAGACCTGCAAGAGCACCCGCGGCCAGCACCCGACAGCCGCCATCACACTGCGCCTTCCTACCAACCCCTCCTACACTTCAGCCCTCAAGCCACGTAATTGCTATGAGAGAAGGCTGTCGTCCAGCGAAACTACAAATCCCAGCAGCCATCTGAACGGAAATGATGGCGCCAGAGGAAATTGGACGGCTCAAATAGAGGCGGCTTTGCGTGATAGGTTTAGGGGCGAGGGCGTGAAGACCGACAGCGAGTGTGTGTTTGCCACGCCAACTCTGTGTGCCGCTTCCACGGCGAATGAGACTTGCTTTCAGCTAGGCGCTCCATCAAGCTCTCTTACCCACTGGATACGGTACTGTCTAGCATGAGAACTTGTTATGATTCCGCCCGTGTCAGTGTTTCTCTTATTTTTAAAACCCTTAATGTCAAAGTGCAGAAAATAGAAAATGAAAACCCCTCGGCTACAAGTGGATTATCGGTAACGGAGAGAGACATCAGTGTCTTTTACACGGGGACTGGATTCTAGTTTCCCTGTTTCTAGTGCGGCTTTGGCTGCAGCAGCAATACCGGGGCTTCCACACGACAGGTTTCCCTGACCCAGTTCCCCAGAAGTGGCCACCCCCATTCCCTGGACAGCCAGGGCGTTTGTGTTTTGTTTTTAAAATCAATGCTAGAATATTATATTGATAAACCATTGTAATAATAGGTATAGCAGATTCTCTGAATTCCCAGTTTTGGGTTGTTTTAAAAAAGTTTCTAGCACCTTCCCTTGTGAATATCTCCACAAGGGAAGGAGGGTATAGAGACTTAGCTTTTTAAAAATGAAAGCTGAGAATTCAGAGAACCTGCTACACCTATTATTCAATGGTATATTGATACGATAGTCTAGTGTAGATTTTAAAGATAATTAAAAGATCCTCTAGTGGCATGGCCAGGAAGAAAATGGCTGCCATGTGAACCCAAGAATCCAAATTTCCCCGCTCAGCAGCCATCCAGGCTTTACTGCAATCTCTCCCAAAACTTTGAAGCTAAGCAGGTTTGAGAAAGGCTGGGGAAAAGCCAGGGAAACCCATGGAGATGTATGAACACACCACAATACTGTGTGGAAGCAGGAAAAATAGTTTCCCAAAAGCACTGAACTCTGTGCAGATAACTTGGGTTATCAGGCAACCAGCAGAAGGATTGTGTTGTGGGGGAAGCATCCAGGGAGAAAAATTAAAATGAAAAATTATGCCTTGTCTACCTATAGGAAGTTCTCACCATAGAGTTCCTGGCAATTCCAAAATACTATATTGGAAATGATAAAGGTTATCTCTAGCTGCTCTTGCCACTGCTGGGTAGCTTTCAGAACTATCAGAAACTCTATGGTCAGAACTTCCTGTAATTAGACAAGGCCTAGTTTTTCTTTTTAATTTTCTTCAGGACAATCCCTCCTTTTGGACCATTTCTGCCCACTGATCAGCTGAGCATTGGTGGGTATGAGCTATAATTGTCTGGAAGTCTCCCACCATAAGCAGGCAAACAGGAACCCTGCAGATAACCCATGTGGAAGACATCTTCCAGGATGAATTGACAGGACCAGAGGAACACCCCAGCCTAATTTTCTGTCCCTATTAATTTTCCTCTATTTCTCTGTAAGAATTCAGTTCTCATGAGATGCCCAGTTGCCCCAAATCACTCTGGCAAATGCACTGTCTTCACTCTCACATTTTGTATACTTGCTTGAAAGTCAATATGGCTTTCAAGTCCTACAGTAGGCCACACCATTGCATGCTTTTTTTCAACCTTTCTGATAAAAGCTGATGCCATTAGACCTAATAGGGCTACTCTATACCACTACAGGTCTGTTTTATATTATGCAACAGTTTGAGGGTCATTCTACTCAAGTGGGAATTTAGGGGCAAAGCTACTATCTCTGTTTCCCAGGAATGTGAAGAACAGTAACTTTGTTGTTGTTAAGTGAGATAAAGTGCAGTAGAATACAACAGCAATGAATTGAGGCACTTTCTGATTGAATCCCACCCATGAACACAAGTTTGCATTGTGGTGAAATCTAGCAAGGGCTTAAGCCCTTGAACTATGTTACATCAAAGGTGCCACAAAAAGCCACCACACTTGACTCCTCTCTCCCTTCCTTTCATCCCCCAAATTAAGACAGACCAGCAGCTCAAGTCAGTTTTCCACTTTATTCACATAGCCTTTCTTCCGCCGATCACCTTGCACACACAACTTTGACACAGAGTACAGTCTTGTCACTGGAATCACAACGATGCTTAGTGAGAGGGATCAGAGCAGGGTCTGAGCCTCTGTGATCAAGTTGTGGCACATATTTCACAGTGACTGGGGGACATTCAAGCCCCTTCTCTCCCAAACCAAAACAGTCACAGTTTCCATCACCAAAAGGGAATAATCAGATTTTATGGTCACCAGTTGTTTTGGTGTACATTAGTCTCACTCTCTGCTATACAGAAATGGCCAATACTACAAGTAAGTTCCAGGGCCAATGAGACTACAAAATACATTCAAAATACCCACCTTGGACTAGGCCAGACAACAAAATCTCCCCAGCATGTTGGCAGGATTAGGGAAATACTACCTCCATCAGTGAAACATCCAGTGGATTCTATCTGGCAAGCAGAACCATGCCCCACGGAGGAGGAACATCTGCCACTTCTAAGCTCTAACCACAGGGTTGTAGTCTTTTTTTTTTTTAAGTGGGGCTGATGTTCTGAACAGCATTCTAACAGAGGAGGGAAATAGGCTCCCAAGTAGGACTCCACACTGCATTCTTGATCGTTTGCCACAGGTTGTCTGGCTAGTGCGGCCAGGAAAAAACCCAAGATATGAAAATAATCCATATATTTCTCCGAAAAGAGCCTTTTAGAAATGAGTCTATACAATTCCCCCATCCGCCCACCCACCCCTGTAAAAAAATGCTCCAAAGTGCCCAGAATGTAGACCAGCTTTCTACTAGTAGAATCGCTTGTTCCGCTCCTGCCGTTTTTGGAAGACCACAGCACCCACCACAGCACACACAATGATGCCAAGCAGAGCACAGAGGAGCAACAGGAACACCTTCCAGCCTGTCAAAGGCCCACTACGGAAGTTTCCCGTTGGATCATCCACATTATCTAAAGAGAACAAAAAGAAAAAGCACTCAGGAAGGGAGACATTTATAGTACATGCTTGGCAGCAAATGACCTAAGGCACCCTCAAACCATAAGAAACTAGAGAGCCATAGTGATGAGGTTCAAGGCTGACCCTCACTGACACAGTTAAGAGTTTAGATATCATGCCGGAGTCGTAATTATCGCTAAGGAAGCAAGATAAATCAGCTGCAAAAAATTATTTCCTCCCCCTTTAAGGCTCCCTACCTTAACTTGGCCAACCTGGCCATTTGAATCCATGCCACGCTAATCTCGACTAATGTAATGCATTCTACATTGGTCTGCCCTTAAAGTCAACTGAGAAACACCAGCTGGTACAGCTCAGTTATTATTGGGAGCCATGTGGAGTATGCATATTACAACTATTCTGCAGGCACTCCTTTGGCTGCCAGTCAGTTACCGGATTCAAGCCAGTGTTATTGTTATTACATAGACAGCCCTTCATGGGCTTGGACCTTATATCTCCAGAACCACATCTCCTGCCATGCTCTGTCACAGCAGCTTTTCACACCTGAGCAAAACCTTCTAAAGGTGCCATTCTACAAATAGGTATAAACAACAGTGGTCTGCACCCAAGTTCTTTCTGCTGTGGCCCCTGCCTTGTGATGTGAAACAACTTGTATTGTTCCCTAGAGTGTGTAAAACCAAAAACCAGAAGCACATTTTTATAAAGAAAATAGGCTTTAGTATAAGGGAATAGTTTAGGAGGGCACTTTTATAAAGGGAGTTTGACTGTAGTCTATTGCACTTTTTATTGCATTTATTTGTTCTGCTGCCTTGTCTTCTGCTTTAGTAATCCATTCTCATAAGAACATAAGAGAAGCCAATGTTGGATCAGGCCAATGGCCCATCCAGTCCAACACTCTGTCACACAGTGGCCATAGTTTATAGTATGCAACGTCTTAGACTGGGTTTTTTTAAATCTGTACTCTAATTTTGTAATTAGTGAGAAAGGCGGACTATAAAGTAAATAAATGAAGTAAATAAATTAACAAATCTACATCATAGGATTAAGTTAAAAAAGCAATGTACTACACACACACAATATATCGGAACACAAATTCCGTTAGAAGGTTAATTGAATTCAGTAAGACACATTAATGGAAAGTATATTTAGGATTGCAGCCGCTGCCCTGGACTGCAGAGAGCAATGCCTAGCAGAAGACAGCTACATTTTCACCTGTCTTTCAATCCAAGCATTGAGCACTAATCCAGGAGAGTTCATCCAGACTATTTAGCACTCACTGAAGAGACAGGGGGATGCTTCCTTGTACTGATGGGTGATTTCCAAAATGATTCAGAATATGAAAAGATTATAGAACTCACCTTTGGGTGACTTGAGGAAGCTAACACTGGGTTCAATCTTTGTCCAGTCAATATTCTCTTCTTCTGGTGGATGTTCCACCATCAGCTGGAACAACTTCATTGAGATGATGTCATGATTGTCTAGAAAACAAAAAGTCAAGTTGCAGTTAAATGTTTGTCTTGTCCTTCCGTTCTGAGTCTGAAGCCTGGGCCTATAGGTGGGCAGGAGATCAGCCAGCACAGAAGAAAGACCTCCTTGACCACTGGAAGCCTCCCCTCCCTTTCCTGTTTAGTTTGTTTATTCTTTTTGTGTACTCCATGAGGAGTTGCTATAAGTCAGCTACAGCTTGATGGCACTTGTTTATTAATTATTGTTAACTGCATTGGGTCCACACTGGGGAGAAGAGTGGTATGTAAATATGCTAACAAATAAATGTGTGTGTGTGGGGGGGGGGGTTGCCATCAAGATGCGGCTGACATGGCACCCACATGGGGTTTTCAAGGCAAGAGATGAGCAGAGGTGGTTTGCCATTGCCTGCCTCCATGTAGCAACCCTGGACATCTTTGGTGGTCTTCCATCCAAGTACTAATCAAGGATGACCCTGCCTGGCTTCTAAGTTCTGATGAGATCAGGCTAGCCTGGGCCATCTAGGTCAGGGCTGCTTACTATAGTCTATTTCAGGGGTCCCCAACATGGCATCCATGGTGTCCACCGACACCTTTATAAAGGCCCCTGGTGGGTAACCAGGACAGTGAGTGGTGCCAGACTGGGCTTTTGCCCACCAGGGCTTTCACTGGCTTGTGTAGATTTTTAAAAATATTGCTTTAGCACCAGCTGCCACCACAGCACAAGAATCTTCACTGTGTGACTTAAGGTAAACTGTGTGTATGCAAGAAAATATTTAAAAACAGTATGCTCTTTTTAAAAGGCATCTTGTTAAACAGAGCTTCCGCTTGAAATATTGAATACTTTGTTTCATGCCTTCCATCTACATTGAATACATTGTTTCATGCCTTCCATCTACATTGGATAGTCATCAGTTTGCATATAAGGCAAACAGATCCACGGAGGATGCCCTCACTACCACTCTCCATACTACTCTGTCACATCTGGAGCAGGCGGGGAGTTATGTGAGGCTGTTGTTTGTGGATTTTAGTTCTGCCTTTAATACCATCCTCCCATATAGATTAGTGTCCAAATTGGAGGGCCTTGGACTCTCCAGCTCCATATGCCTCTGGATTTTGAACTTCTTGACGGCACGCCCTCAGAGGGTTAGGGTAGGGTCCTACATGTCCACAGCCCTTATCCTTAATACCGGTTCTCCACAAGGCTGTGTGTTGAGCCCCTTGCTCTATACCCTCTATACGCAGGACTATACCTCTACCCACCCCAGTAACACCATCATTACGAAGTTGTTATTACAGCCCAGAAGATCATTGGCTGCCCTCTCCCATTCCTGGAGGAATTGTATATTTCTCAATGTTTGAAAAAAGCAAAGAACATTTTGCAGGACTTGTCACATCCTGAACATTCCCTGTTTGAACTGCTGCCTTCGGGCAGAAGATATAGGACAATTAAAGCAAGGACAAATAGATTACAAAATAATTTTTATTTGAGAGCTATTATTGCCTTAAATGCTGTATGAAATTGGAATTTGGGTGACATTGGTGGTTTTAAGTTGTTATGTGAACCTTAAGGGAGTTATGGGACAGTAGTGAATGGTGTGTGAGTGTATATGAATATTGTTGTAGATCACCGAAATGACTGCGTCTTTAATTTCGTTGTACTATGTACAATGACAATAAAGTATATTATTATTATTATTACTTACTATTAGAATTATGCATAACCTCATTTCCTGACATTTATGGTTGGCTCCATCTCCTGCAGCAGGCATTTTGTGGTTGCATCTACCACCCTGTGTCAGAATTCCGAAGGTGCCTGCAGATTCAAAAAGGCTGGGTACCCCTGCTCTATTTCATCTCCTTAACAACATTCAAGACTATTGTAATAGTCTTGAATGCTGTTAAGGAGATGAAATAGAGCAGGGGTACCCAGCCTTTTTGAATCTGCAGGCACCTTCGGAGATTACCCTTGAAGACAACTTAGAAACTTCAGCTGGTGCGACGTACCACAGCTTCATTAGTATCAGAAGCTAGGCAAAGCAATCATATTGCACACATTGTTCAACAGTTCCATTGTTTACTGATCAGTTTCCAAGTTTAATTCAAGGTGCTGGTTATTACCTACAAAGTCCTTCAACAGCATTGGACCCACATGTCTGCAGTACCATGTCTCCTGATATGCTTCACTGAGGCAGCACCATCCATCCAAGCAGAACCTTCTGAAGGTTCCATTCTTCAAGCAGGTAAAATCAGTGGCTGCCCATTCTCAAGTGTTCTCAGTAGTGGCTCCCACCTGGGGGAATAGTTTACCCAATGAGAGCAGAAAGGCTCCATATTGTTATTTCACACATAGTGTAAAACAGAGCTATTTAAGGAGGTATTTCTATAAAGGAGGGATGCTATTATTTTAATGTCCGCTGAAAGCCCATTAATGGCTTTTAAAACTGTTTTTTAGTTTTTGCAAATCTACCTTGAGTCTTGATGAGAAAAGCAGGCTAATCCTAATAAATAAAGTTATCTCCCTAATCACATAAGAAAGACCCATTTAAAGGATTTCAGTAATTCAAATAGCTGGTTTAAGATGCTCTGATGTTCCATTCAGTTTAACAATTTGGACCTGTGGAGAAATGCATTTTTCTTTGAGGGTTTGAATGAAGCAAAACCTTTACCTTAGAGGTTTCTCTCTCTCTCTCTTGCCAGAGTTCAATTGCTCACCAGCCTTACCCACCAAGCCTTTAAAAATGCAAATGATAGGCCTGGCCTGATCTGGCCAGTTGGAGGCGAAGCAAAACCTTTACCTTAGAGGTTTCCCTCTCTCGCTTGCCAGAGTTCAATTGCTCACCAGCCTCACCTACCAAGCCTTTAAAAATGCAAATGGTAGGCCTGGCCTGATCTGGCCAGTTGGAGGGAAAAGAGAGATGGTAAGATTCATGAGCAGGAGAAGGAGGGTCTTTTTTGTGCCAATTCCATCAAGGCAGACAGAGCTCTCATCTGAGTTCTGCTGGAGATGGCAATTGTCACATGCAGGACTGCAGGTCTAAGCAGAAGCTGCAAGGCAATAGAAACCCTTTAGAACTGCTGTAAGGTTTTAAGCTAAAGAGCCTGCCTTAGATTAACATCCACCAGGGTATGTAAACAGAGAGGGAATGCGTTTTACACTCTTATTTTGAATCCCTTACTCAGTTTCTTGCTGTGCAGAGTATGCATGTGGACATGTTCTTTTTAATAAATGCTTTGTAACTTTTAATACTGGCAGCAGTTCTCTGTACCACACAGAGCTCCATTATTCTGGGTATGTTGTTTTGAAAGGGGCTCCTGGAAAAAGTGGAGGGGCAGTGAGTGGGCAACTGGCTACTCCCACAGTGGTGCACAAGGCAGTACGCTGTCCCTATAGTAACCAGACCCGGGGGGGGGGGGGCAGCGGGAGACAGCAGTGCAGGGAAAGGAAGCTGGGAGCCCTGGTCCCCTCAGCAGGCAATTCCTACAAAGGCCAGTTGGTGGCAGTGGTTGAACCACAAGAGGCAGAGAAAAGCCAGGTAGGTCTGGGGTGTCGAACTCATTTATTACAAGGGCCAGATCTGACATAAATATTACTTAGTCAGGCTGGGCCATGTGTGCCATATAAATGTAATGTCAGGTATTATGTTTTATTTTATTTTTTATCCTGCCCTACCCTGCAAACAGGCTCAGGGAGAGTTACAACACACAAGATACTGGACAAAAAATAAAACAATTTAAGACCCTGAAGACAACTATTTCAAAAGTCCAACTGAATCACAAGTTGGCAATTTCAAAAACTTGTGGTGTCTGAGTAGACAGAAGTATGAAAGGTCCAGGTTCTCAGAATGGTAGGACCACTGCCGTCGGACCCAGAGGCCTGCTTAAGCAGGAGGGGCCAGATTAGTTGGACATCTGCCACCTCAACCAAAGGCCTGGCAGAATAGCTCCATTTTACAGGCCCTGCAGAACTGTAAGAGATCCTTGCAGGGCCCTGAGCTCCATTGGGAACTCATTCTACCAGGCTGGGGCCAGGGCCAAGAAGGTCCTGGTCGAGGTGAGGCAGATGTCTTTTGGGCTGGGGATTTCCAGCAGATGGTGGTCTACAGAGTGTAGAGCTCTTAGGGCACATATGGGGAGAGGCAGTACCGGAGATATAAACTTTATACATGACACAGGCAAACCCAATTAATGGTCTTATTTTTACTCAAAATACAAGCAAAAGCAATTGATTCCTAGTAGTGACAGCAATTCAATTACTGGCTGGAGCCCACAAAAGCCCCATTAAATGTATTTAATCATATGCAACTAGGCTTTTTCAAGGGATACCATAAAACGAGGGTGTATCTTACATTTTCATACAAATTACTTATTTTTTGTATACAGACCTTTTAGGAGAGTCATCTTCCTTGTTAGTAAATAAGGTAGTTTTTTAGCACACCCCCCAATAAATCCAGCCTCGACAGCCAAGAATGGCTATGTTCTGTCTCTTGCTCTTTGTCTCCCCTCTTCCCCCATCCTACCTCTTGAGGAGGCACACCAGACTTCCACCTCTACCACCCCATCCCCACCAACAACCCTGAGGTGGTCCAGGCTGAGCGGCTGGCCAAGAGTGACCCAGACAACAGGTTCCCAGCTCTGGAGGGGGGGGGGGTCTGAACCTGGCTCATCCAGATCCCCCCACCCCCAGTTCTCATCCCTCCTACATTTCCCAAAGAAGCAGTGGAGCTGAGGGGAAGGCCTGACAGAGAGGCTGTTTCCAAAATCTCCAAGGGATGTTTTTTGTCATCCCGTGACACCTTTTTCTTCATGGGCTGAGAAGAGGTAGGGAGGAGAAGGGAGGTCACCATCCCTCCCCCCCCCCCCCCAGACACAGGAGCAGCTACAGGGACACCCACATCAGCAGGTAAGCAGAAGTTTTGGCCCCATATTACCGTCATGGTTGAAACCATTATCATTTTCATCATGCTCTTTCATCTTCCTTCTTTTTTCAGAAACCACCACACCAGCTGGAGAGCATTCAGGTATGAAGCCTTTTCCAATATATCCATGGTGTCTACTCCTTGGACAGTCTTCAAAAATGTTCTGGATCTCTGGAAGTATAGAAGGATGAATGGGTGGACGAATTGAGGGAAAACGCTAGCTTGAAGGATGAATCGCTGGATGGATTACAGATGAATAGATAGGTAGACTGATGCCCCATCGAAAAGGCTCTCACAGTTAGCTTAGGTTCCAGAGAGCTGTTCAAGAAGTTGGAGAACTCATGATTGAGGCCACAAGCTCATGAAATATCACCACGGGAGGAGAATTGCTGATTCCCTGATTCTCTTCCCACTTCATCAGCAGTGGCCATCAGCTTCTATGAACTTGTATCAGATGGAAAACTGCACAGCTCAGATGCATAAATTCCCAGGGTGTCCAACTGGATGGAGGACATATTGGAACTCTCATGCCTATCAGACATATCTTCCTCTTCTGCCACTCTGTGCTCCCACTCTCACCATCTCCGCTCACAGTCACTGTTTTGTGCAGCAGTGACAGTGCTGGCCACTCAGCGACACCTCCCCATGTGGTGGGTTCACCAATCCTCTCTGAGCTGTGGTTGGAAGAGGTGGGAGGGGGGAAACACCATGCCTCCTCTTTCTCCACTTTTGCTGCCATCCCCCCCCCACTATTTTACCTCAACCTCTTAGCCCTGCCCCCTAGCCATTTCCTTTCTGTTTCTTGACAGCTTTGACCATGCACATCTCACCACATGCACCCACTCCCCTCCCCCCAAGCAGCCTCCTGCCTTCTCTCCCTCATACCAGTTGCTTGAGGGCCAGATAAGAGCCCTGGATGGGCCAGTTCTGATCCCTGGGCTGTATGTGTGACACCCCAGAGCAGGTGGTACCTTGGACTGCCGCTGGTGCCCAGACACCTCAGAGGGCAGGGTGGAATGAGGCATGCTGGTCAGAGTGCAGCTGTTCCACCGCAACACCACAGAACACTTTATCCAAACCCCCACATCCAGACAATGTAGCCTATTGTACTTCAGTAGCAAAAAAACCCCTCTCACCAGATAGATCTCCTGTACCCGCAGAAGCCCCAAAAAAGTAGCCAGTGGGCAGCCGGACTCCTGCAACATCAAAGCAGTTTTTCCATTCGTTTTTGTCTTCCACATCAGTCATCACCTGCAAAGTAAGTGTAATCCTGGATGTGAGCATCAATCAAGTTTTTGCCCTCAGCCACCTAAAAAAAGGTCAACACACCTCAAAACAAAATGGATCAAGTCAACTATATTGTATAAGCTAGAAGTCGTAGAAATTTACCACCACTCCACTTTCCAAACCTCAGTGATTACGAAAGTTGTAATAATGATTCAGCTTGTTCATGCACACTCATTGTGAAACTCCATATGCATACAGCTAAAGGAACTCATGAACATAAAAGTCAACTTACTGTCAGGCGTCCCCGGGAATAGCGCACAGCCAAAAACGTGTCATGGTTCTGATTACGAAGATCAGCCGTGCAGCCTGCCAACTCTGTCCAGCGGCCGTCTTTACTATGATCATAGGACAGGGATCCATTGTTTACCATGGCAGAGATATATGGGAATACACGCTGCATAAGAAAGAAAACGTATAGCTTTACCATGATGCATGTATGTGGCTCTTATCCTAAATGTTTCAGAAACCTACATATAGACGCTCATGCATGCACACTTTTATGTTCCTACTAGCTAAGACCAGAACTGAGATTTAGCTTACAAGTAGAAATAGCTCTCAGGGCAGGTTGTTAGAACTACTCACTTCAGTTGCCTCATCATTTGGATATGTGTCCAGGAAAATAGCCAACCCATGGAAGTTATCTTTGCTGCCAAAGATAGGACCTAAGGAACAAAGGCAGAATAAGGTAAAAAAAGAACTTGCATTATTGTATCATGAGACAGCCAGATTTACCTAACTAATGGGCAGAACACTTAAGATCACATCTTTGTTATCTGTCTACATTATAGGTTGACAACCTGCAGGCTGGACACAGTCTGTGAAGTTAATCCATTTAACCCAGCTATACATGCAAGGCAAGTATGGTCCTCTACCCTCCTGTCTGCTTACTACTGGGGTACGCCACTGTGGAGCCAGTTGCCTCCACACAGGACAACACAGGCACTTCCCGGAAAATGGGAGGCCCACTAGAATGGTCACAACTATTGGAATTCACATGAATTTTGGGGAAAACTGTGTGCCTGCCTGTCCAGCTTTACAGCGGAATTAAGGGGCAGCCAATACCTGTCATTTTGCAAGCGGGGTGGTAGAGGAGCGGGCCTTACCTGGGTGAATTATAAACCCCATTCCACTCCAATTCTGATGCCTTTCAGGGCCTCTACAAAATACTCAGTTATCATTCCAGCCTGCACCAATATTGCCCCATGATTGTCTGGTCCATTACTGGTCAACAACAGTAGCTGACCCTGGGTCCACAGAGAGCATTTTATCATCTAACTTAGCCACCCAGTTAAAAGCACTTGGATATTGTCATCTTTTAAAGAAAGAACATCTCATATTTTCAAACATACAGAGTAAATAACTGATGTGAAGAATACTCTGTCCAGCTTTTGAAACAACAACTCTTGTAGAGAGGTCTGCTACAGGAAAGAGTTGGTATCATTTAATAAATACGTATTTAGAGTTCAGCTGTGAATGTATTAAGTGACCTTGGAAACAAGTTATTATGACAACCTCTATTTTACCAACAAAAAGAGAACATCAATAACCAATCTCAAAGGAGTTTTTGTTAGAACGAAGGAAATAAAAATAAAGAATTCATATGCTACATTTTCTCTAGCAGTGACTGATATGCACCATGGATAAAAATAGTCAAACAACTGACAAGCAAGTTCTGAATACTTTAGAAATGTGTTTTCCAAAAAGAGATACAGCAAGCATCAAAGCGACACGCCTCCCAGGCAAAAATTGCGTGTTTCGAAAGAGTCTTCTTCAGGCAAAATTATTTTTCCTGGAACCAAAGCTCACAGTACTACAATGCACAAGTCAACAATTCTATAGAGGGCTTCTCTTAGAAACGTGGGCAACACTTTCTATCCAAGGTTCTTAATAACTTTCTGCAAATGCCTACCATCTAAGCTGTACTAGTTCAGAATGTAAATGCGGACTCATGGAAAACTCTTATATATAAACATTCTTTCCACATTTAAAAAAACACAAACATCTGGGAAAAGGCTTAAGTCACTATGTTATCGTGGTTTCAGCAAAGTACCTGGAGTAAGGCGCTCCCGGGTGTACCACAGAGCAAATCCATCCCCATGTAGATTCTTTTTTCCTGCTCCATGGATCTTAAACTGGACATGGAGCTCCCAATCCTTCAGGAAGCAGGGCTGAAAGACAAAATATAGCAATCCTTGGAGAAGGTGTCACAAAACTCTTTAAATGGAAGACTCACCCATTTTAGTAACTGTAAACAATTCCCCCACAGTAGAACACTTCCACCATTTCCTTCCACAAAGCGACTACACTCACCACTCGGTTCCAGATAGAACCCTCCTTGCTGCGTTCATCAGGAGTCAGTCGAATGTACTGGCTAGTAAGCATCGTGCTCCCTTGAAAATCCCAGAGAGGCATTGAACTGGAGCCAACCCCTAAAACACAGAGGATACTAGTGATCTCATACTTTCAAAAGGGAAATATTAATTCATCATTAGAACCACACAGATAACCAAGCTTCTCAGGTACTATTCAGCAGAAGTAAATCCAGTCTCTCTCTCTTAAATCTATTATAAGCTTCATGGGAATTTGGAACCCACCAGTTTATAACAAGTTATTTTACTGAGCAACCCAGACTTTCTTCTGACTCTAAGCAGCTCTGAATCTATTTCTGTCTATTGGATACAAAACGAGCCTTAGGTCCTGACATGCTTAGGGGGAAGAAAGGCACACAAATATTTTAAGTAAATAATAAAAATTAGAGCCTCTCCTCTTATTACTTTTTTACTAGCACTCATTTGATCAATACTGAATTTTCGTATTCACAGCACAGTCTGCCATTACCACCATCTTCTTTCCACAAAGCCAAGGATTCCTGCTACCAGCACTGCCCTGCATGACTCTCCATACAGGAGCAGGCAAACAGCCTCTCAAGATAAATCCATCACCACCTCACTTTAAAGCCTGATGAAGAATTCTGGAGAACACAAGACTGCACACTGTCCTGTGTCATTTTGGTCGGTCTTGGAAAGGATTTTATTTTCTAGAACAGACTATCCTAGAGATTTTAAGGGACCTTTCTTACTATGTTTTGAACTTGTTAGACGTCCTTAGGAAGGAGTGTGTGCAGGACGGACGGCAAGTGTCCTCCATGGCCCTTTGGTTTTCCTCCCTACTTCCTAAAAGGACAGTGCCAACTCTTCCTTCTGGCTCAAAATAGACTGAACTTTAAGAAGAAACGCGAAGTAGGTCAAGAGAAGGGAGGGGGGGATCACCAGAGTCAGCGCCTGCCCACCGCACGCACCCTGGTAGGGCTTGATAAGCGAATGCTCCCGTTTCAGATGCTCGCTATTCCCGTCTGTGAGCTCTGCGGCTCCTGGTGGCGCGGACAAGGCCAGGAAGAGGTGAAGAAGGAGCAGGAGCGACAACCGCGGCGGCGGTAACAGCACCATCCTGGCCGCTGGACTCCGCGCAGATCTACCACCACCTCCCGCACCCGCTACCACCCTGCTCCCTCCTGCCCCGCTTCTTCCTACTTCCGGTTAGCCCTTGACCCGGATGTAAACTTCGAGCAAACTGAAACCAGATACGTAAGAAAGCTGTTCTTTTTGTCTGATCTCTATGACCGAAATCTCGCCTCTGACGCTACAGAGCTAGGATAAGACTGAAATGACAACACTCCTCTGATTCCCGGCACCGTGGAGAGCTCTGCAAATCTTTTGTAAGAGAGGAGTAAAACGTGTCTGCAGGCAAGTGGCTGACTGGGACAGGATTTCTATAAACCACTGAGCCCCAGCTGCAGCTCTGCCATTGCAGTGCTCAGGGCGGGAGGAAACAGCGAGGGTGTTATAAAGCTGATTCTGCGTCCCCGTCTTTCAGCTCCCCTCAGTCTGCAGTATTAAGGATATTAGCTTCGTTTACAGCCTGCCTCAGCTACCCTCGTATTTAAAATACAAAAAAATTACTGCACAGTTCATGTCTTCTACCCTAAAGAAGGAAGCATGAACAGAAGTCTTCTCCTTTGGGGGCGGAAGAATACGGTGGACCTAACTCGCGGCCACGATAAAGTTTCGGATTTCTGTCTGCGATAAGCACCTTTTGTTGTTAGCACAATGACAGAGAGTCAGGGTTTCAAAAATAACCAGGAAAAGTCGATCTACACACAAAATAACTAGTACAACTACTTTCCGATGTTTCTATGCTAGCGATAGGTGAAATTTAAACGAAGTCCAGGGCACAGGCTCAGTAAAGCCAATCAGGACGAGGTATGTCATTCATCTTGTCCAATAACAGGAGAATTCGTCGGGCGAAAATTTCAAGCCTTGTGTTCTCTGGTTGTAATAGGTTGTAGGCGTGGAATACAGACCATTACTGGATACGGGATCTATATTGCTTTACAAACAGTATCCCAAGCAAAAGAGCTGCCCCTCAAGGAATTTGCAACCTAAATTAACAATGTTTAATTTCGGTTTGACGAAAGAGAAAGCAGAAAAGTGCCTTTTGGAGGTTGCAGCAGCAGCATGGAGAGCAAGATGGAGTCCAGTAACACTTAAAGACTAACAGCATTTGTTCTACCATAAACTTTCACAAGTCTAAGAGTGCACTTCCTCAGCATGGGGTTTTTTTTTCTCCCCGTGCTGCTGCTGTAACTGTGTAAATATATCCAGGCTACCGAGATAAGTTGTCCTGGAGAAAATGACTGCTATGGAGGGTGGAGTCTGTGGCATTATACTCTGCTGAGGCCCCTTCTCTACCCAAACTCGACAATCCCTAGCCTCCACCCCCAAATCTCCAGAAATTTCCCAACCCGGATTTGCCAAACCCCATGTGGCTCTCCTTAACCAGAGAGTTTCGGATTAGACTCTACAGTATGCCTTGTGGGGTGAATAAATGGGGAAGCAGCTTCTGGGCCACTGCTACAATGCAAGAACTTGTCTTAGTTTACCTTAATCATATACATTAATTACTAGGGTTGCTCAAATGGTTGTTCAACTCAGAGGAGAAGCCACTATTTGGAAAGATGTTGTTCATCATGGAAACTTGTCTGCTGCCTCTGGATGAGCACAGCTTGTTCTCTGCACAATATCTTTTTACTGACATAGTCCACTATGTGCTAAGACAGTCTTTCAGAGCAGGAAAGAAAAGTGACATTGGGTACTTGAGTGTGAACCTGCTGTGCCATAAACCATCCCAGCCTACTTCCTTACTTATATTTCCAGGCAATAATAAATACATCAAGGGAGAGAACTTAGAAAGATTCCAGGTAATTTGGCAGACTTTTCTAGAGTGTTTTGGAGGCTGAGCAGGTCCTATTCCTGGGCACTCATAAAATGAATCTAATGAGACTCACAGTGCAATCCTAAACAAGGTTACATCCTTCTAAGATCCTTGATATACTAAGAAGGGCATAACTGCTTAGGACTGCATTGTACATCCAGCACTAAGTTCCCTTCCCTCCTCATTCTTCTGCTTTCCTTTTTCCTCGTTATTTTATTTTGTTCTCTTGGGAGGATGGGTGGGAGGATGGGTGGGAGGATGGGTGGGAGGATGGGTGGGAGGATGGGTGGGAGGATGGGTGGGAGGATGGGTGGGAGGATGGGTGGGAGGATGGGTGGGAGGATGGGTGGGAGGATGGGTGGAAGGGGGCATTATCAGTGATGAATCTCTTCTTGAAGTGCAAAATAATAAAAAGCCCAGTAGCACCTTTAAGACTAACCAATTTTATTGTAGCATAAGCTTTTGAGAAACACAGCATGCATCTGACGAAGAGAGCTGTGTTTCTCAAAAGCTTATGCTACAATAAAGTTTGTTGGTATTAAAGGTGCTACTGGGCTTTTTATTTTTTTGCAGCAGCAGACTAACATGGCTAACTCCTCTGGTTCTTGAAGTGCAAATTTCTTGCTCTATCAGTCCATCTGTAATCCAGATACTGATTAACATTGTGTTTGATACAAACATTGTGTTTGTTTATTTGCTACTTTTTGTATCCTTGGAAAACAAATAATTCTGAGTAAATTTCTTATAACAAAAATATTTACACATTTACATTAGTGTGATCCTTAGCAAATTCAAATAGAGTACAATGTGAATGCATGGGGGCAGTTCTGTATCCGCTGGCCTCATGTCCAGAGACTCCATACAGTGATCAGAACTTCTGCCTCAGGACACACAGTTGTATACCCCCAATATTTAGAGGCTCTACACTTGGAATCTGTATTCTCCATTTTTGCAGGTATGGATTGTACATTCAGAGAGTCCACAGTGTGGTGTATACACAAAGGCCTTTTCACAAATGAACATTTAGGATGGAACCAGGAGATGCCCCCCAATGTATTTATTTGCACCCTGTTTGACCATCTGCATAGGCCTTCTGTGCCCAGATCCATTCAGATATTTTTCTGCTGCTATATAGCTAATAATCTTGGGTAACAATTTCAGCCTTAAAGGTACCACAATTTTATTTGTACTGTCTTTCTTACCAGAGACCTGTGTGGTCCAATCAGCACTAGAGAGAGATCTGAATTACTGTTAGCTTTTATATTTTCAGACATAGAATAGCCATTATTTGAGTCTGTGTCCCAGCAGTGTTTGGTATAAACTGAAATCTGTTTCATATCTATCAAAGAGTCTAACTTAATTAAGTCTACATAATAACACCATCTGTATTCCATTTTAAAATTTAACAGCATATATGGTTGTGCTTTTTCACCATGACCTGAAATATATCAAAAAACCCCACTTCCTTTTAAAAACTGAACTTTTAGTCTGAAGAAGAGCTCTGGGGAACTCATTTATTTGCTACTTTTCAACGTTTTAATTGCTCTGAATAGGTTTTGTGCTACTGTCACTTTCTGATCCCACCCCCCCATGGACCAGTGCAGCTACTTGCAGTTTTAATCCAAATGTTGTTTTGCATCTGACACAGATGAAGCAAATGTTGTTGGCATTTTTGTCTAGTACAGGGTCTTATGTTTCTCTCCTTTGAATGACTTTAAATTCTCTTATCACCAGCTCTTAAGTGGATTATTCTCCTCTCAAGCGATGGCCCTCATTTGATCCCATCATCCTGCTATTGGCAATACCCACAGGACAGCCTATTAAACCAAACTTTGGATCCAGTAGTAGCGGCTCAAAAATGGATACCAATCTGGAGACTACAGCCCACTGTACGGGGGGGGGATCTCTCTCTGCTGTGTTTCAGGATCAGCTCTAGTAGGAGATCCTTGGTCAGCAAGTTCATACTCATTTGGAGGCAGTGCTGCTGAGAGGGGAGGACTAAAGGGACAACATTCCAGGGGTTCCTATCCTCCTGGAGGTTCATGGAGCTCTGCAGATCATGTAATCTGCTGTCTTATTTATTTACTCCATTCATACCCAAGCTTTCTAACCAAATGGAAACCCAAAGAGGTTTACACTGTTCTCCTCTCCTGCATTCTATCCTCATAACATCCCTGTGAGGTTAGGCTGAGAGTGTGTGACTGGCCCGAGGTCATCCAGCAAGCTTCCAGGCATGCAAGAATGAATGCGTTTACTCCCCTAATTTTCAGGGATTTCTGCAGCTGTCAGTCACATGACAGAACAGACTAAGCATGCTATAGAGTATTTTCTTTTGCTCGTCCGTTTGTTTTCTATTTGCTTTTCTGGCAAAGTTAGGATCAGTGTTCCCTCTAAGCTGAGTTAGTGTGAGCTAGCTCACAGTTCTTTAGCCTCCGGCTCACACATTTTTGTCTTAGCTCAGGAAGGACGGCTCCAGAGCAAACTAATTTATGCAGCAGCCAAATCGCTCGCTCACCACTTTAATGCCAGGAGCTCACAAAGTAGAATGTTTGCTCACAGCTTAGAGGGAACATTGGTTAGGATGTCAGAAAAAATCATACAGTTGTTTAGCCTTAGAGACTTCTTAGTATCACTAGGTTAATTTACAATCGGTTAATGAAAAAGGGAGTGTGAATGGACATTGCAAAGGCCGGGAGTGTTACATTTCAGTCTTAGAGGTCCAGTGATTCTCATGACATGCAAATGTTATGTAAAGCAGTTTATTTATTTATTACATTTTAATGTTGCCCTTTCTCGAAGGAGCTTAGGATATTGTTCATGGATCCCTCCCACTTTTTTATGCATACATGGTCCTCTTTCCCACTTTGTCTTGACAAGCTCTGTATGTAGAAAGGGAGTGAATGGCCCAGGATCACCCACTGGATTTCATAGCAGAGTGTTGATTTGACTCTAGGTCTTCCCAGTCCTAGTCCAATACTGTTACTGCTGTCTCCAGCAAAGGAATGAACACCCAAGTTGTGTCCCGGAGGCTGGTGGATCAGCTGAAAGTATGAGGGTGCTTGCAAAGAGCATATTCATTTTGTGCTTCCAGTTTACACTAGGATTTTCTTTGCTTCACGTATGAATTTGTTCACAGTCACAGTTCCTAGATGGCTCTCAGAATTAATTCCAGTTTTTCTTTCCAGTTTGGGCATACCTTTTGGAGGAGACCTGTCTTCCCAGAGTCATCCCTCAGATTGTCCAGTACTTAAGTGTCAGAGAGACCTTTGTGCTCCTGTAGTATATTCAGTCTCTTTGATGCATTAGCCATGAAGAACAAGATGGTTGTTTGCTGGTGGGGTCAGCCATTTCAGAAAACATGGGGAACTGTTTTGTGGAATTTAACTGGATAATCTAGTTGAAATTGAGATGCTCCACTGAGTATTTAGATGTTGTAAAGGCAAGTTCTTTTCTTGCCCTGGAATCTTGGCTCAGATCTGGATGGTACATCTACAGTGAATCTTTTGCACCTCTGGGACCAAACCTGTGGCCTACAGATTTAGTACCACTATAACTCCATTCCTTTACTCAGCACTATCATTTCTTCCAGCTTGAGATCTGGCTACACATCCAGTTCATGCCATCCTAGAAAGATAAAAGTGAGCAACAGCTATTACTGGGCCCTGAGCATTCCCATTTACCATTACCAGCTCTAAAACCATTATTTATTCCTTTTATTAGTCTTGTATCCTGCCGTCCCCGCAAGCAGGCTCAGGGCAGGTTCCATCAGGATCGCTACATTACATAATACAATTAAAAACAATTATAGACTCCTTTGAAATCTCTTTCTATGCATATATACCCCAAAATGTTTGTACCTGGACTCCTTCACCAGATATGGCTGAACAGGCTTGGATTTGCCACGGCCGGTCTCGATAGGTGTGCAGGCTCAGTCCTTCAGCAATGTCTGCGGCAAGCGATGCTGTTGCCAGATCCTGCTTGTTCGCAAAGACCAGCAAAGGGACACCAATGAGATTGCCTTCTTCCACTAATTCCGACAGCTCCTAGTAAACACACATACACACACACAATGCTCTTCAAGGTGATTCCCAGTCCAAGATACAATGGCATGTATCTTACCACTCTACTAAGTAAAGTTTGAACCTCTCCTCCAGTGCGTCCTCCAACTTAAGTGGTTCTTCCTTCAATGGAAAAGCCGTTAAAGTTGGAGACAGGCTCCTTAAGCTGAAGAACTTCCTGCAGCCTAAGGTAAGATACATGCCAGTGGCATTGGATAAAAGCAGTATAAATTAAAACAACCAATCAAACAACTAAAATACACATAAGGTGGTAAGAAAATCAACAGTAACAAAATGGATAGGCAACAAATGACAGAAATGTTCATGTTATTTATTCAAGATTGGTAGCTGTGTTTGTCTGTAGCAACAGAAAAGAGCAAGAGTCCAGTAGCACCTTAAAGACGAATAAAATTTGTGGCAGGGTATGAGCTTTCATGAGTCACTATCTGATATCTGAAGAAGCGAGCAGTGACTCACGAAAGCTCATACCCTGTCATGTTGTTAGTGTTAACATGCTCTGTGCCGGGCTACCTTTGAATATGCTTTTGGAATCTTCAGGCGGTCCAGAATGCAGCTGCTAGATTGCTGACAGGGTCACCCTTGTCTGCTCATATAGTATCAATGTTTCAGCACTTGCACTGGTTTCCAATCAGCTTCTGGTGCCAATCTAAAGTGCTGGTTTTGACCTATAAAGCCCTAAATGGTCTGGAACTGCCTTCCCTGTGTGACCCCCCTCACCTCCTTAGATCATCACAGGGGGACCTTCTACAGGTGCCTGGTCTGCTAATTGCCTGCCTGTCAACCACCAGGGCATGGGCATTTTCAGTGGCTGCCCCCTCTCTCTGGAACCAGCTCCCCGGGGCAGTTTGTGCCCTGAGGGACATTCCAGTATTCTGTAGGGCATGCAAGGCTGCTTTGTTTTGGGTGGCCTTTGGTTAGCATTACAACTGGGAGCTGGCCAGTTGTTTAAGTCCTTCTGATTGGCTTGTCAAGTTGATGTTTTGATTGGTTTTATGGTTTTATACTTGTTGTATTTATTTGTATTATGTTTATATTTTTTGTATTTTAAATGTTGTAAGCTCCACCAAGTCCCCTGTGGGGAGAGGGTGTGGGGCATAAAGTAAATAAATAAATAAGTGCTCACCAAAATTTCAACAGAATAAAACAATTTTATATTGATGCTGAAAATAAAAGAGAGTAGGTACCAAAAAGTGTCTCCAGGGAGGGTATTCAGGGTGCTACCACCATGAAGGCCCTATTCCAGGTTGCCTCTCACCCATCTTCCAAAGTCATAGGCACTTGGAACAGGCTTCAGATGATGACCTTTATGTAGAGGCACATTCATACTGAAGATGTTGCTCCTTCATGTACTCTGATCCAAGACTTTTTTAGAGTAAATAGGCCAATACATACTGGAAGCTAGTGCAGGCTCATTTGGCATCAATAAGGTATACTCAGTATGGCAGGTCCCATTTAAAAATATTCCAAACTAGTTGAAGTTTTTGAATACACTTCACTATACACCCCCACTATAATAATCAACCTCAATATTAGCAAAGGCCATAACTGTAATAAAGTCACCTGCTTCCAAGAGGGGAAACAGCTGCTCCACCAAGTGACGTTGATGGAGGGAATTCCATGCCATGAATGCTGCTCGGGCATCCATAGGGCAAGATCTAAAAGGGCCTCATAGTTTCACTACAAGAGCAGAGTAAAAGAAGTGTGGCATTAAAGCACCGACCAAGAACTCTGAAAACTTAGTTCCAGTATTAGATTATGTAACTCTAGATAATATTTTTACCCTCAATGTTTCCAGTTTATAACCCTGGTTGTGCAGTTCTGTACAGTTTAACTGATGGGGGGGAAGTCTGTAGAAAATCCTGCTGTAGGATGGAGTTATGAGACTGGATGAAGCAGCCTGCCTATCCTACCTGCCCAGTCTCTTCAAACCGTTTCTGGTCAGCGCTGTCAATAACATAGATCTGCAATCAGAAAAAAAGAGAGTCACCTACTGCCTACCATGACTGTTATTGGTCCCAGATCCTTTTCATCAACTCCTATCCATAAACAGCTAATACTACTGGAGGTTAATTCTTCTTATACAGGGCTCACTTAAGATGACTGCAAGACATTTTTGTTGCCTGAGAGAGAGAGAATCCAAGTAGAATAGTAGCAAAAACAAAGTAATAAAATTAACTGAATAACTATCATATAATGGTATTTCAGAGTCTGCAACATGAAGCACATTGGCTTAAATTGCCTTATTTGCTGGGGGTTAACTTTACCCTAGATTCCACTACTGTCTACCTCTTCATGTTCTACAGAGGCAGTTGGGGTAGGGGGATGGTCCCCATGCTCACCAATATGTCCGTGCTGACCAGATACTTCTTCCAGTAGGCCCGGATGGCCCGTTGTCCTCCTATGTCCCAAAGAGTGAGCTTGAAACCATGAGCGTGGACACTCTTGATATTGAACCCCTGTGAAGATGAAGTGGGAAAAGGTGGTACAGGAAAACATGACAGTTACTGAGTGTGTGGCCATTGCATAGCACAGGAGGGGGACCAAATGTCTAAGATACAAATTACATATTAAATATAAACAAGTATAATAATGGCTTGTTGGCCTGCTGCAGTTGGGAAAGCTACTTCTGGTGGAGGCATTCAGAAGTGAAGAAGGCCTTAGAGCAGCCTGTGCCAACTCCAGCTTGGGAAATTCCTGAACATGTGATGGTAGTGTCTGGAGGGACGGAGTTTGACCAGGAAGCTCAGCAGGGATGTGATGCCATAGAGACCACCCTCTGAAGCTGGCCTTTCTTCCAGGTGAATTGATCTCTGTAGTCTGGAGGCCAGGGTAATTCTGAGATAACTTCAGGCCCTGCCTTCCGGTTGGTAACCCTGCTGTCTCTTTGTTCCCAGTCATCCTCCTCAGAAATAAATTTTTTGGATCTAAATGGATCATCAGACAACTGTTGACATGTGCATCCGTATCGTGTGTAGTCTGGGCATTTGAACACTCAGGAAGAAACTATGCATTACAAGCGATGGTGCATGATATTTTTTTGGTGGCTGCTGCCAAGGTGGATTCAGGAGGGAACATGGCAGAGAAGGTGCCAGGGAATAGCATTGTGCTTGCGCGCACACAGAAACCCCCACTCCCACCACTTCTTCATTACAACATGTAGGGAGTTTGCATACAATGTGTGATTGGGCTCTAAAGATGCTTGAGAATTCAGATGAGAAATCTTTTAATAAAGTAAAAAGGTAAAGGTAAAGGTTCCCTTGCACGAAATCCAGTCGAATCCGACTCTAGGGTTGCGGTGCTCATCTCCATTTCAAAGCTGAAGAGCCAGCGCTGTCCGAAGACATTTCTGTGGTCATGTGGCCGGCATGACTAAACGCCAAGGCGCATGGAACACTGTTACCTTCCCACTGAAGCGGTACCTATTTATCTACTTGCAATTTCTTGCTTTCGAACTGCTAGGTTGGCAGGAGCTGGAACAAGAGACGGGAGCTCACTCCATCATGCGGCACACTCGGGTCTCGAACTGCTGAACTACCGACCTTCCACAGCCTGCAGTTCAACATCTTAACCACTTGAGCCACCGCAGCTCCTTTAATAAAGTATATTAATTTAAAAAGTAAATTCAGTCTTCCCCACTCTCCTGTCCCAGTGGCTGAGCTACAGGTCTATCACAACTAAAGCTAAGTGCCAGTATGTTATAGGAGAGGGGATTGATGGGCTGGGCACAAAATGGCTAGGGTATTACCGCTGGCATATCCTTAGAGGAGCGTCTCAGATCTACATGCTTGAGGTTGAAGTAGTCATAACAGCTGCAGCAAGGGTGTTGGTGAGGGTCCTACTTGCAAACCAGTTTCTCTAAGTCTCTATGTAATGAGTTACCCAACTGCTGAATGTCCCATCCCAACCCCTCAACACTGATCCTCTCTGCTGAGGGGCTTACCTGTGTGGGGGTGATGGTGTCCACCTCTTCCGACGCCAGGCACTTCAACAAAGTGGTCTTGCCAGCATTGTCCAGTCCCAGTAGAACAATCCTCAAGTCTCTCTCTTCAGAACCTTTAAGCTTTTGGATGACTGACAGAAGCCCCTGTGTTGTGAAAAGAGGTTTCGTAGACGGGGCCCTTTATTCATGTGGCCGAGAAAAAAGTGATAGGGCAAAGCATTCTATGGAAACACAATGGGGTGCTTCTGTGTTTGCTGCGGGGATGGGGGCCATACCAGAGTGGCTGCCAAGCTTGACTTTTAGAACCTTCCTCTGACCTGTCATTTGGTTCCTCAAGACTTCAGAGTTGATCCAGGGCCCTAGCAAAACATATGCAATTTTAGCCCTACTTTTGTGACTATGTTGTTCTGATCTCAGTATCGTTCCCTGCTCTTCTCACATAGGAACAATTCTACCAACCTGCTCCACTAGCCCCAGGGATCCTTTCTGTTCCTTATGATTGTCTGTTACAGAATACTCTGTAATGCCGACAGGTCTTGTCTCTGAAACCAGAGGGTAGGAATTACTTCTAGGGAGCTTGGCAGCAAGCACCAGTGGCTGACTAGCCACACTGTAAATAAGGTTCCTGAGCTATTTGCTGCTGGGTCGGAAGAATCGACTTACCTTCTGCACTTCACCCATGATCAGGCCCTCTACAGGCCCTCCTCTGCAGATCCAGACTTCGAAGAGGCTTCCTGTACTAGCTAGTGGCTAGGTTCCTGCTGTGTGACTGACATGCCTGGCTCCAGCTAGGGGAGGAAGAGGATTATGACTCCAGGATTAGCTTGTGTCTCTCCATTGACCTAGGGTACTTAGTAATACCCTATGTAAATCCCCATTGCCAGCTGTCACCTCAGCCTGACCAGACCTCCCTGCTGAATCTATAGGATAAGATGCCGTGTTGGCCGAGCCAGTGTTAAGCACCTACCTGGGAACAATAGAGATTTTACTTGGACAGCTGTAGTCGATGAGGATTTGAATATTTTCCCTTAAGCAGTTCGAATGAAAATAATCTCCATCCAGAAGATTTGACCAGGTTGGCCATGGTCCCTGCAAAAAAGGAAAGAGATAGGAGGGCCTGCTATAGAACAAAACAATCAGGTGGAATCTAGGTTCAGAAACTTATTCAGGAATTTCTGCCAGCACCACTCCCTCCTCTCCTGGATTTAGTTGATTTATTTATTATCCTTCCCTTCCTCCAAGGAGCTCAGGACAGCTTATTTGGTCTCCTTCTTTCTCCATTTCAAGTCTTGTCTTTGTCACTTGGAATGCTTGCAATTATTTTTTTATAAGGTTTCCTTACTTGGCAGGTGAGTTTTCATAGAGAAGATAATAACTTCCATTGTTTCCTTCTTGTAGAGTCCCTGTGTGTAGTGTAAAATCAAGGACTGGGGCAACCATCTAAATCCTCCAATTATCCTCCAATTAAAAATGTATGGCATCTGACTTTCTCCCCAAACACTTTGATGTGTGGACTGTTAGACTATCCGCCCTCTGTGTGCTGACTGTATTTCTGTTGCTTCAGTTTCTGCCTCTTAATTGTGACCATCACTTCCTTTCTACTGCTTGGATAAAGTAAGTAATTCACAACAGAGTTTCTAGCCCATCAGCGGAGCAGGATCTCTCTTTTGGTGTCTGTGTCATGGGAAGAAATACCTGTAAGGGTTCTGAGCAGAGCAGTGTTAGTTAAATCAGAGCTGCTTTGGGGGGGAGTGGGCAGAGAATGCACAGCCCCCCCTCTTCTGATCATGCCTCCCTTTGCATACATCAACCCACGTGCTTGTGCGTCATTCCCCCACCCCTTCACAAGCCCTCTCACTGCTCATGTTCACATATGCCCGCACCAGCTACATGCCTTTTCCTATGCTGGGCAGTGTGTAAAGCTGGGAGCATGGATGGTGGAATGCTTGCAAGCAAGCAGGTGGGGTTAGGCCATACAAATCTGCCACAATGGGACACAGCAGAAGTCCTGAGCCCTGGTAGCCATAGTTCCCTCTAAGCTGCACTAGGGAGTGCTGGTGCACAAAATTCTAACAGGCAGCTCAAGGGTTTTAGCATCAGCCCTCAAGACATTTTTCCCCTCCACTGGAAACAATGGAGAATGGGGGCACCTCCTTCTCAGAGTTGGACCCCCTGGTCCAATCTTTTTGAAACTTGGGGGGGGGTATTGAGGAGAGGGGCACCAGCAGCTATGCTGCAAATTTGGTGCCTCTACCTAAAA